GGCCTAGGTCTTATTTATACGCTAGTTAATATACTAGAAGGTAATACTAGTAGTAGTAGCAAGCTATATAATATTATTATTACTATAACTACTATATAAAGGTATAATAGTAGACTAAAGTAGAAATACTAGAGTACTAGTAGTAGATAGAATAATAGCACTAAGCTAATACTAATTATAGGCACGTAAGTAGGTAGTAGGGGTAAGTAGAGTAATAGTATTATTAGTTTAAGCCCTTAATATAAGATCCTTAAAATAATAGTAGAGCTAGTAGAACTATAGTATAAACTAGTAATAGGTGCCTTTAGTAGGTTTCCCTATAAAAGTGCTAAGGGTCCCCTTCTTTATAATATAAAGGTAATCCTTCTAGTAACTATAATAAAACTAAAGCTAGTTATAGAGGGCTTAGTAAATATTAGAATTATTAGTAAGGATAGCTTCTAACTAAGTATAAGTCTTATAGCTATAATAGTAGGACTTATATAAGTACCCTAGATATAGTTAGAACTTGCTATAAAGAAAATAAAAATTAAGGGGAACTTACTACTACCTTCCTAATAGTTATACTTACTAAAAAGATAAAGCTAGTTAATATACTAATTATAGGGAAGTAGCTTTATAAAGCTACTATTATACTCCTTATTATCTAAGTTACTAGAAATAATAAAGCTACTAAGTAGCTATATTTAGGGACGCCCGAGCCTGCCTCCCCCGTGATCGATGAGTAATAGGGCTCGAATAACATAATAACCAACCAACCATAAATCTTCAACCCGGGGTTCGCCTAAACATGCATCAGCTCTTCACATTTGGCACTTCCCCAGCCACCCCAGCAAGCGCAGAGCCTGGTGCAAACACACAAGCCCCAACACCCAGCCTCACAGCCCAGGCCCTCAAAATCGTCTGGACATCGTGGTGCGACGCCGTCATCCTGACACAAGACGGCTCGGAGGAATGGGAGCTTGTATATCGAGGCAGTGGCCTCACTTCCAAGCAACAGGACCACCTAAAGCAGTCTGCGCATCTCCGGCGTGCGTTTAATACGCGAGACATGGTGGTAAAGTTCTTTGGCAGCGCAATGCATGATGGACTGAGGGGATATGTGATTGCGAGTTCCGGGGATGGGGCCAGGGAAAATCGTATCCTGCTGTTTGCCACGGACGTGGAGATTGAGGCGGGGGAGCAGGAGGTCCGGGGTTACGACATAGGCGGCGTCAACACGATTCTGGACGTCAAGATGCAGAGTGGAGGACAGGTGCTGGTGGGTGTGAGAGAGCGGGGCAGTTGTCAAGAGTGCGTGGTTTGTTTGCGGGATGTCGGGGAGTTGAGGAAGCATCTCGAATATGACGGTGTGGAGCTGGGCGGACGGGAGTTGGTTAGCCTCGCGTCGGCTGTGCCTGTGCAGTGGGAGATGAATGCGACGACGAGTACGGCGCTGATGCCAGATGCAAGGGTGTATACATATACCTCTGACCCCAGGTATCCACGATGTCTAGGTCGACCGGACGACGGGATTCATGTGTTTGAGTCAGTGCCGTTTCTCTCAGAGACTGAAATTGTGAAAATCGCGTCCGGTGGTTATTTGAGTGCGACATTGGGTTCAGATGGCGAGTTGTACTTGTGGGGTCAGGTGTGCCCGGGATCGACAGGAAAGTTGGCGGTTTTGGAGGAGGCTGCTTGCTTAAATCAGAGTAGGAGCGCAAGGGCGACGGGGATTTTTGTGCAAGGAGATCAGGATGAGCTTGTCAAGTGCTTACAGGTTCAAATTGATGGCCATGAGGCGAGGGTATATGATGTTGCTATTGGGCATGGACATATTGTGGTCGCTGCTGAAGCAGTGGATCTTGGACGAAGTAAACGGAAATGCGCCGTCTTTGCTGCAGGGGAGAATAGTCAAAGGCAGCTGGGCCCTGGGTTGCCCAATGAATTTTCGGGGGAGTTCGAAGAGATTGTCGGATTGAGAGACAAGCGAGTGACACAGCTTGCTGCTGCGGGGTGGTCGACTCTCATGGCAACATATGGCAGTGAAAACTCCACGTGAGCTTGATGATATCAAAACGAGGTAGAGGATTAGGATATTGGTGCGAATCTACGAAAAACCTATTTCAAGACACGATCGAACTGGATGATAGTCCAGACCGAGTAAAATATACAAGCTGTCATCCAAGTGGGGTGGAGTGGCAAAAGAGGATCGATAAAAATTTCGAGGTCGACAAGTCAGAAACAAATACAGACCCGTGACGATCCTCCGCAACAGAATGAAGAAATCTGTAGCTCAGTGGCAGGCCCCTTCTCTACATCGAAAGTTGGAGCCCAAGGATCCAATTGCCCGTCATGAAACACTACGTGTGGTGTGGGTGGTACTTCATATGAGTATTTGAGATCGATTCTCGTCGTGACCAAGATTGGAGGTTGCTCCAAAGTCCGCTCTGACCCCTGGATGTTAAGCCGGGTAAGCCAATTAGGCAAAACTTGTTCGAAGAAGGGACGCAAGTGCGGACAACAGGCTACGATGATTCCAGTGCTCATCTGGGCAACTGACCACATCAACGAGGTGCCCATCCTGAACGTCCAATCGGTCCCTTGGTACGTCAACTCTGACAAGGCCTCGATGCTAAGGGTCTCAATGACGATGTTACTGTGGCCTGGTCAGCAGTGACCCTCAAATTAAGTTCTTATATGACTGAACATTAAACCAAAAGCGAAGATGGATGCAATGGCGACCTTATGAGCAAGGCGAAAGTGCAGTCTCCAGACAACATAGTGTGGCATGAGCCAGGCCAAGGCATCCAGAGCCACTCCGAGGGAGGCAATGGCAATGATAGCAGGTCGAAGACTGAAGCAGTATTTTGAATTATCAAAAGGCATGGTATAATTGTACTTGATTGGTCGGCAGTGTAGAAGCAGAGTTGTTATGGTGATGAGGCCGACCATGATGGAGCCGATGATGCACGTGTAAGCTGGAGGACACATCAATGAGAACCATCATGCTGAGAGAGATTCGGCAGCATGTGCATGTACCAACGTATCTGAGCCAGGGGAACACGGTAGTGTACAAAGTTCGGATGAAGAAGATGGAGATGGCAGATCGTGTCAAAGTCAGACTGATAGCCATGGGGATTCGAAACAGCCAAAGCACCTGATCATGTGAGTCCTTAAGCAAAACAGTGTTTCTCTGGACCCATGTGTACCATGAGTGTCCGTTCAAGTCGACCCAATGTGGGGTCAGTGATGTGCTGACGGACGAGTCTAGCGGCCATCACTGTAGCCTGTTAGCAGGAACTACAGGCCGCGTCGTGGTAGGACGTAGGACAAACGTGCAGACTATAAACATTGTCACAACAACATATAGGAACAGCTTCCCAGCTAGCATTAGCCAATCTCGGGGATAGGATGGTGTCTTTCGTTACCAGAGCCAGCAACAACAGCGTGTCATCGATATTCCATGATTGGCTCTTGGTGCGCTTTGCTAGGTAGCGGGCGATGAAGAACAACAAAGGGACGATCGAGAGTATGACAAGGCCGGCAAGGTATGAGCCGATCAGCATTGGCTCAAGGTTGTGTGAGCAGGGCCAAGAGGTTAAGGACAGGTCGGAGTGCGAGGACTCTAGGATGTGGCGGTGCGCATTGCGGATCGGGGTACGTAAGCAGAGGGCTTGAAAGTCGAGGGAGGGATCGTCTCGAGATTCGTAAGCTGTATTGCTTGTAGTAGTGAGGAGAGACAGGGTAAAGGTTGTATTGCTTGCGTAACCAACGAGGGTGGGTGTTGTTTCCGACAGATGGGGTGAAACACGTGGAGAAGGTAGTCGGAGCAGCAACCGCAAGCCGTGCAACAACCACCCGACTGGTATCAAGTTTTGCAACACCGTCTTCCTTGCTCAACAAAGAGCCACAAGACTCGACAAAAGAGTCCGGCTCTTGCAAAATGTGTTTCAGTGAACTGTGTTGGAGCTTGTCGTTGGAGGGTTCCAGTGCACAGTTGGGCCTTGCATGGGTCTTGCATGGGTCACATCAGCCCTACCCGCGACGTGCACTATCACGTCACTGCGTATGTATTGTATGATGTATTTAGGTATGCATGCACGAGGACGTTGTTAGAATATTGCTAGATATTGTGGGTAGTCGTACTCTGGGCTAAGTTCAGGCCGATTGACAAGGGACAAACTTGGAAGCGACATGACAGAGCTCGAGGTTTCCTGCCTGCATTGGGTGCCAAAAGGCCTGGGGGCCTGGTAAGGCGCAAGGCGACTAGGTAGTGTTAGTAAAATTAGTTAGGTAGAATTGGCTGTACAGGTTCGAGATGAATGGGTTGGCGCGAGCGACAAGGGGGATGAGATGGGCAAGACAGATGCTAGAGCTGCTGTAGGTTGCACGAGATGATTTTGAGGAAACAGTGCTGCAAGACGCAGTCGTATGTACCCATCATGTACACAGTACCTAGACAAACAGTCGTAGGCTGGGTGTGGTGTGGTATTGTCCGAGAAGTCTAGGAGCGGACAATGGGCGTCTGACTAGGTTTAAGCGAAGGCGCTAGGTAAATCCGGCAAGAGAGTGCCGTGAACGCGTGAATACGGTGACTACAACAGAGTAGCAAGCGTGTTTGGTCGGGGCGTATAGCAACAACTGTGCAGAGAGGATAACAAGAACAAGAGAGGAGATGGCGGCGGATCGGGCTGAGAGGGGCTGAGAGGGCTCATGTGGGACTATTGGAGCTAACCGAAATCGGACGCTAGGCACGGCCACCCGTGACTTGCATGGCAACGTGGATTTACGAGTTTTTTTTTCTTTTCACGCTCAGCTTCGGGCCGATGACTTCGCCCCTGGCACCGATGTCATGACGAAAGTTTGGGCACCGACGGTATTTCGCCGCAAAGACAAGTGCAGAACGGGTAGGAAGAGGACTGTTTGAACACAAGGTTTGGAGAAGGGCATACATGTAGCAAGAGTGTCTCACATAGAGTAGATGCACTTCATTTGCCTTGCAGTCTGAAAGGCTAATCCGCTGAATGGCGAGCGGCGAGGGGGCAGGGCGGCGTCATCGAGTCGTACCGAGTCGTGGGGGCTTGCCATGTACAGTACATGGCGGTATGGATACTGCCATGGTTCGCGACATGTCCCACCTTTCTTGTACGCTCGTGTTGCGTACCCAAGCGCTGACGAAGTCTCTGGAATTTGATCGGTGGCGGAAAGGGCTGTCCAGTCAGCGTGCAGAGCCCGTCAGGCAGTGTTGAAACAGAAGGCGGTGGGAAGGGCAAGGATGTGGGGGTCGATCATGTTGATCTTGTTCGCCCCTCATTAGAGTACAAGAGCATGCCATTGTACTACTCCATGCAAGTGGGAGGGAGTACGTACTAGGTAGATGCACAGTCAGGTACCGGTACCTTGCCTACTACAATGCCTTGGTTGGATACGTTGGTACTCCAGCTCTGCCCCTCTTCTGATGAGCGTGCTGGATTCAAACCCGTAGAAACCGATTGTACCTAGGTGTACTACTTGGTCTACTTTCTACTCTACCTAGCTAGATTGGATGCATGGTGAACTCTCGCTCCACTGTACTTGTGTACAGTAGCGCAAGCACCAGCACCAGCACCAGCTAAAAGGCAGAAACAACGAGCAACTCGGCTCACTTCATTGCCACGGCCGTTGAACAAGCTTCCCAAGGGCATAGTACAACGACAGAGTAGAGTACACACACCCTCCCATTCGCCAGCGCAGACTGGCCCCGACGCTACTCTACACAGGTTGACAGTGGTAGCCACCAGCAGCTAACCAGGACCGGCGGCCGGGATGCCGAACAGGGCTTAACATTAACCCAAGCGACAAGGGGCCAAAGTCAGGTCCAGGGGTCGGTCAATGGGCTTCTTGCAACCACTTCCTCCTTCGTTTCCAGCAATAACACCACCACCATTCACCCTCCACAGTCCACACACACACACCTCTCTTCCCTTTCCAAGGGCCCGTGCAAGCCCCGCCCTTGTCCACATTCCCAGTCTTGTCAACGTCATGTGCCCGCTCCCGGCTGCCTGCCCATTTGGTTGCGCCAAACCCGTCGTACTGGCTGCTGGCTGCCTTGGGCCTGCTGCTCTCTTCCACTTGTTTCCGGATGGCCTGGCAAACTCGGTCCAATCCTCCAATCCACATTGGGGCCCACTCTCCCATCAGCCTGCCCCCATCGTCCACATCTACAACTGACTTTTGCGGCCGTTTCTATTTGACTTTTGCTAGCAACCAGCCTTGTACTATTCCACTCTCCACTTTGACACCGCCCACTTCAAAACCCTACCCTACCCTACCCTACCCTACCCTACCCTACCCTACCCTACCCTACCCTACCCTACCCTACCCTACCCTTACCCTGCCCTGCCCATCCTTGTTTGCCCTCGCCCAACCCTTTCGAGTACATAGCAGCCTGGTGACCAGGCCAGTCTTGCTTGACCTCAATCACCCCCACCTCGACACTTTCTGGCCCCATTTCCTCCCAGTTTGGCCACCTCCACCACCGGAACATGACCTGGCAGCCATAGTGCCTTCCTTTGGATTCTCCACATGCAAATGGATAGCTGCCGGGAGTCGACACAAAGCCCATGGCTGGAGAGCCCACGCTTGCACTTTCACCGGCAACGAAGCAACTCATTCCCCATAGTCGACGCTCTTGGATGCTCAACGCCCGAGGCACAGTTATTGCTGGCCGAGGGTAGGGCTGCTGTCCGAAAACGACGCGCCAAAGGCCGACGGGGTCGATCTGTGGATGACGAGAACATCACCACATTTGATCCTCGGGACCATGTCGCCTATCTCCAAGGACTGTCTTTGATAGACACCCCTCAGGAGCGACCCAGGACCCATGAGGCCAAAAGCTGCCATAATCGGAATCTCTCGAATCTAACAGACGCAAGCATCAACACAGTCGTCCCATTACATGGTGATGGCGAGTCAGCTACCAGCCTCTCACCCTCGAGCCCACTAGGCGATTATTCCGCAAACCTGGCACGGTTTATCAAGACACGACTTCGATCCATCCCGACCTACAGACTCGGTCATGACACCACGTCCACCTCTCCACGTTCATGTCCTGACCTAGGTTTCCCGCTTGCATCGCCACCACAATCGCCAACGAAAATGCTCAGGCGCCCCGCCGAGGCACCCAAAGTCATTACCATTCCTCCCATCCGGCCACCCATGCTGAGCGCCTTTTCCGCCTGGAGTTCGACAACCGAAGACGACACTGATGATGATGCTCCTCCACTACCAGGATTTGCAGTCAACAGCACCGATTCGCCATCCAAAGCTAGCAGTTACACCCCTTCTCTGTTGGGCTACTATGAAATGTCGCACACTCCCTCATTCCTATCTTCCTCCACACCAGCAGAGGAAGAGGCAGAGCCTAACACAGCCAGCACATCCACTTTGCCAGCAGAATCAACGTCGCCTGCATTGCCGGCCGAGCCTCACGACGATGATGGCGATGATGATGATGATGACGACGACGATGACGACGACGATGACCCTCTCTCATCCCACTCGCATCCACAGCTCGTGTCATCGTCGGCACCATCGTATACATCGTCAACATCGAATCTGTCTTACTTCGACTGCAAGCGTTCCCCTGCCATGACATCAGCAATGAAGGACCGCATCATTGCTGCCGTGACGCCGCCACATGCCCAGCATAAGATGGGTTCTGCAATGTCCCCTTGGGAAGATGCTTCTCTTACCAAGGCGCACGATGTGTTTTTAGATTCACAGCATCGAATCCATGTTGACGGCATGTCGTTTGATATGCCCAGAGACTTTGTGCCTCCAAGCAGGCTGACGCCATGCTGATGAGCACATCTCACTTCATCTCAGACTGACTGCATAATTTCCTCGTTCCTTTTTTCCTTTTGCGTTTCCTTGGCGACTGAGCTTAAGACTGCTGTATATCCAGGTCGTTCAATCGACTGTGGCCAGCTGGCCTTGCCACATTGTAGACCTTGTCCCACTTCCTTTCTCATCTGCTGTTTCACAGGCACTGTACTGCTTTGTAATTTGCACTTGGCGTTTTCTTCAGAATACCTAGATTGCCACCCTTGCCCTACTGCTGTCGCGATTCGAGTTTGGCTAGCGATTGATTGTTTGCCTTTGCGATTGGATTACGTAGAGTGTTTCCACTTGGAGCCCTTCCGCACATGACGAGCGAATGACGCACACGATAGCATTCCTATGGGGACTTACTTCGAAGCGAGATTGTACATTTTATTTTAACCTGTTTTTTTGCTGGGAAGGGGACGATTAGCAGAATCTGACTGGATGACGGAAGTGTTGGCACGAAGTCGTATCGTAGTTGGATCGGTATAAGACTGGCTGGAAATGCAACAAGCTCCTTTGCATGACCGCTATGAAGCACTTTTGATAATTTGAGATCCTCTCAGCAAGATGCATGCATGCATGCATACATAGTGAGGCTGGCTAGCCGCTGAAGGAAGACGTTGGCATCATTCGGGCAATGTGGTGAGGGTTGAATATGACAGTGTGATGCAATGGCTGGCAGCAGTTTATCTCATACCATGCCCGGCAGATCAGATCGACAGGATCGATAGAGGATCGATAGAGGATGCAGTGTGAAGGCTGCCAGCTGCAAGGTCCCGCCGCCCGCAGATCTGGGCGTGGCAGTGGTGGGGACGGGACGAGATGCATGGTTTGCTGGTCGCTTGTCGCCTGGTGGGCTTGGTCGTCTGCCCAGGTGGTCGCCTGGTGGGCTTGGTGAGGGGCCGCGTCATGTGTCATTCGTCGTGCTTTGTTGGTTATTGGTTCGCGTTGCGCTCCTGGTGCTGTACTGCCATGTAACAGTATTTGTAAGTAAGTATATACTGCACTGCACTGCGCTGCGCTGCACTATACTGTAAACCGTGTGGTAGCAAACCACGCCAAACAAACACCAAACAAATACACTGGAACCCTCGTCACGATTCTTGGTTGCCAACACGACCTTTTTTCCATGGCTGCGCTCTCCCCACTACACTTTTTTTTTGGTCCACTAACCTCCTTGCTCACTTTCGAATCACTCGCGATTTCACGTGGTATGATGATGTGTGAAGACACGTTGAGGTTTTGACGACCCTACGGAAGCCGACATGACTTTTTTTCGCACGAAGCTGTAACAACTACTGAATATACATTGACACACACACACACACACACACACACACACACACACACACACACAAGCACATACACGCCGCCCTCCATGGCCGACTCCGATCCTGGCCTCTTCGCGCAAATACTAGGCCGCGCCGCCTACGAGTTTTCTGTCCTGCAACCCATGCTTCCCACCTACATCCACCTCATAGCCTCGGCCCTCTTCCCCATCTACACAGGCGCGCACGCCTCGCTCTCGCGGCCATCCACCGCTGCCAAGCCGACGAAGAAAAAGAAAAAGGACGACGTCGACGGTGACGACGATGAAGAGGATGATGACACGGACGACGAAGACGAAGACGAACAGCGCGTCATGGAAGGCCTGTCCCCGACAGACGCCATCCTGATGCCTCTCTTCGCTGGCACAGCTCTTGCCTCACTCTACTTTCTGCTCAAGTGGATGAAGGACCCCGCACTGCTAAATAAGCTCCTCAACGCATACTTTGCCATCTTCGGTGTCTTTTCCGTCTCGCGGCTTGTCGCTGATGCTCTCGATATCGGCCACTCGATCATATACCCACGTCGCCATGTCCACCGTGGCGCGCTATACCATGTCGATGGCAAGGAGAGGCAGGCTGTGCCGCTATCAGCGACCTCGACAGACAAGCAGCCCATGACTACACCTCTGCCCGGTTTTCTGGCCAACATTCCATTGCACAAACGCGTGAGAGACATGCTGTGGTCAGATAGAGCGATGCCTGGAAACAAGTGGACTCTGAAGCTTCATCTCAAGCGCGCCCTGGCTGCAAAGTTCAAATTTGGTCCTCATGATCTGGTTGGGCTTGCAGTTGCGCTGGCTGCGGTGGCATACTTCAACCTGGTGGATAAGCCATGGTACCTCACAAATTTGCTGGGTTTTGCGTTCTCCTACGGAGCTCTGCAGCTCATGTCACCTACGACATTTGCGACGGGTAGTCTGATTCTGAGCACGCTTTTCTTCTACGACATTTACTTTGTCTTTTACACGCAAGTAGTCCCGCATCTTACAGGCATCATGCTGTCAGCTTACACACGCACAGGCCCATGATGGTGACTGTAGCAAAGTCACTCGACGTCCCGATTAAGCTCTTGTTTCCACGCCCTGGTCCCGTCGATGACCCCACCCAAGGTCCTTCTTACGCCATGCTCGGTCTCGGAGACGTCGTGCTACCTGGCATCATGATTGGCCTCGCGCTCCGATTTGATCTCTATCTATTCTATCTCCGCCAACAAAAGCGCATACCTGCAGCCACTCAGGGCGAGGAAGATATCATTCAGAAGCCCAGGTACCAGTCTCTAGCTGGACGCTGGACCGACCATTTTTGGACACACTCTCTTACCGGCCGACCGTTGTGGACTGCTTCCAAACTCTCCGATAGTGAGAGTGAAGTGCCTTTTACCTTCCCCAAGACATACTTTCGCGCTAGTCTGGCAGGATATATTTTGGGCCTTTTAGCCACGCTTGGTGTCATGATGGTATGGAACCACGCACAGCCGGCGCTACTCTACTTGGTACCTGGCGTACTCGGTAGCATATGGTTTACGGCCCTTGTTCGGGGTGAGATCAATTTGATGTGCCAGTATACCGAAGAGATTGAAGAGGAAGAGAACAGCAAGACCACCGGGAACGACAAAGAAGCCAAATCACCTGCAAATAGCGTCAAGGATAAGCAGGATAACCTTCCGGCCAACGAGACCGGCGGCAAGAAGTCTGCCGCCGTCAAAGAAAACCAACATGATGGCCGGGCCAAAAGCCGGAGACCAGCCCGAGAACTCTTCTCCTTCTCCATCGAGGCACCTCCGCTGCACAAGGATGCAAAGCCTGCCGAGAACAAGGTAGACGTCTTGCCCGACGCCATTGACGAAAAGCACAACTGGGCGCCGTCAAAGAATGTTAGTCGAGCCACTGGCGCCGAGCCCGTCGGCAAGCGTGTCAGGTTGAGGTGATGTTGTATCTTTGTAGCGTACTGTATGGTAGATATGGGATCTGGGGGCGGGGAGTTCTTTTTCCTATCAGCCGAGAGCACGGCTGCATGTGCATACAAACGACGCACGTGGGTTCATTTTTTTTTTGCATTTGCAGCAATGTCCTGGTAAGCATGGCGATGGGGGCAGGGCGTGGCATGGCGTTTTTTTCAAAAGCTTTGTGGCATGGGAGGGAATGGAATGTGACGTATGGGGATAAGGGGGTCTTGGTTTATTGTCTGAATGAGCTATCAGACTCTTTTTTTGTGTGTGCAAATGTACAGCACAGTTTTGAATGCAGATTGCTGTAATGGCAATTACGAGATGAGGAGTATGGATAATTGTATATGCCTGTTTTTGCTTATACGTACTCCGTTTTGCTGTGCATCCGAGTTGTACTCTCCAGTCTCGTCCTTGTCTTTCTGCATGACTGGATTAAGAACGCGGCTAAGTTGATTTTCTCCTTTCTTTCTCTCTTCCCCCGTCCTTTCTCACACCGCTGCATCCAAGACAAAGAACATCCAGCAATAAATAAACCCCCCACCTCCCTTTATCTATCTCCCCTTCTTTGTCCAACATCTAAGCAGCGCTGTGTAGGCGGCGAAAGGCTGCTTTAAGCGGGGTTAGTAGGTAGGCTTTGGTGTTGCTGTGGTGCTGATTTGGAGGGTGTCTAGGGGGCTAATAAAGAAAGATGTTAGGTTTTGTGGTGTGTGGGGCTTTGTTTAGACAGGGTGGGCGGGTTAAGGATAGGGGAGAGACTTGTTTGAGGGTAGACAAAGCACTCGGATAAGAATGTGTTCTTTGACAAAGAGGATGGGGCTGTGGAAGTAGAAGATGAGCGAAATAGTCAGTTATTTAGTCTAGAGAGGAGATATATAGTCGCTGTAGATGGGACGGCGGGGTGGGAATGAACAAGTTTGGATATCGTTGCATTGTTGGTTGAGGGGTTTGGTTTGGTTGAGAGATATTGTTTTTTCTTGAAGGGATTTTTTTTTAAATTCTTCTTATTGGGTTGGATATTGTATTTCTCTTCTCTTCTCCTCTCTCTCTCTCTCTCACACACACATACACACAGACACACACATACACACAGACACACACATACACACAGACACACACATACACACAGACACAGACACACACATACACACACATATCACCTACCGTACCCACCATCATCCACCACCATGTTCAAACAACTCCGCCACCTAGCCTTCCTGCTGCTTCTGCTGCCGGTCTTGGGGCTCGAGGCTGAGCCGCCCAAGGCGTCTGGGGATACATTGTTGAGTTGGTTCGAGCGGCCTATCGCTTTGGCGAGGCCTTCGCTGAAAGCTGTCCCTGCTCCTGCTCCTGCTCCTGCCCCGGTACCTCCACCGCCTGCTCCTGTATCGCCGCCACCGCCACCTGCTGTTCCTGCACCTCCACCACCTCCACCTCCTGTTCCTGCACCTCCACCTCCACCACCACCACCTCCTCCTCCACCACCTCCACCACCACCACCACCACCACCACCACCTCCACCACCACCACCACCACCACCACCACCGCCACCATTTTTTTTTCCACCA